AAAATTCGCACGCTCATTTTTGTATTCTTAATCGAATCAAGTTGATTTTTGAAACTTAATGGACTTTAATATTATATTAAGATTTGAAATTCTATCTTTCAAGGTCAGTCATATTATGAGTAGTAGCCAAGCCTTCATAAGCCCTTGTTTGGTGGTCATTTTCTGAAAGGAGAAAAGTAATTTTTGGACCCTTTTTTGGTCACCTGGGCCCCACATGAGAGTGTAATGGTCAAAAACAACGGCTGCTTTTGGCACCAACGGTAGAAAAATTCATTTTCCTGCCGAAGAAATGTCCTCCAAACAGCCTCTAAGTTTGTCTATGTTTTAATTTTTATTTGGTGTGAGGTTTTATTTCTTAATATTTAATAGTGTATTTCACAATATTGACTATACTTAAAAAGTAAAATATTTGCCTACCTCAATATGATGTAGAATAACTAGTGCACGACATTTAAAATAAAAATTTTACATAGATGAGTGGACATCGATCGGAAAACATGGATGGTTAGCCTCTCGACAAAACTAGAATTTTTCCAAAAGCAACTGAGACTTGCCAATTGATTCGAGTTGGTTTAGAAAAGGAAGTGAAAAGACGAAAAGAAATAGCCCCATCTAAACTCGATGAGACATCAGGCTTAGTCGAACCAAACTCTCAAACCCGTCTAGAAGTTGAGGATGAAGCTTACTATTCATATTTTTAAAACCGTAGAGACATTAATGAGATATCTGATACGTTAGACGTGTAATATTATTTTATTAAAAAATATTTGATTGAAAAGAAAAAGAAAAAAATGTATTAAAATTTTAATAGAGCCAAAACACAAGCTAAATAAAACGAACTATTCGATACCCGAACCTAATGTAACTTCAATGATTTCAAGGCTTGCGAAGTGGTCCAAATCCCCCCACTTGTATAAGTTGGTGTTTTTCAGTTGCAATCTCATTCCAATCCCACGTCCTATAGGCATATGGCCCTAGTTATATTTTTCTAGGGTTGGAGGATTGAAGTGCATGTCCTTTGCCAAATGCACGTACGAACAAGTACACCCCACGACACAATCCTAAAGTATCTCTATTTATTTATTATTATTTTTTATAACGTTTCTAAATGGAGCAACGCCAGTTGAACTCAATCATAATGGTGAATACATATAGAATGCAAAAATAGTAAAAAACTTTGTTCGAACATGTAAAGCACACCCATTTAAATTGATCATGTTGTCGTACGATAATTCACTAGTCACGTAATATCTTATGTGTCATTAGAACAAATTTGGGCAATTTTAAGCTTTCTTTTATTAGTTGTCCTTACTTCCGAATTTTACATATTTTAAGAAAATCAATGTCTTGTCCATTGAGTAAAGGGAGGGTTTGCTGCAGTTGATTACGGTGTTGAAAATTAAAAAGGTTGAACCTCAATCTTGAGGGTCCCCACCGCCCCGTCTCTAAAATTTTGTGAGGAAGTTAAATCGCGGAATGTGCCCCAATAGACCAGGAAACAAGAGCTGTCTGTAAATTGACGATGTTGAAAATTACTTGTTCTAGCTGTTGCTTGAATGGAAATTTGTTACTTCAATCAAGTAACCATTGACTTCAAATTAAGAGAGACGTGATGCTTCAAAAAGTAGTGATATGATAAGTTGCCTCTAGAATGTCGATGAACACAGGGCAAGCTCTTTCGAATTAAAGAAAAACGTTTAGTTATGCACAACAAACAGGACAGTGTCGAGAAAAGTTCCATGTAATTAGATACGATTTGCAATAATCAAGCAAGTAGCATCATAATTTTATTTTTTACAAAATGTAAAATGCTGTATTGTGTCAATGTACTTAAAGCATGCTTCGGAAACATTTATAAACTGTTCAAATTATAAATAAACAAAAATACACATTGGATAAGTGAGTTGTAATTGTGTATTTCTCGAAACGTGTAAATAAAAAAAAGGACTTGATGTTTATAAACATAACCCCAACATATTTGAATGTGAAATGTTTAAAAGATAAATCTACTACTTCTGAATTAACACTCAGAAAATAAAATTGCAAAGGAATAATATATTGAACAATTACCCACATATTAAAAGATAAAATTATGACCGGATTCATAAATTCTGTTAAATAATTTTAATAATAGTCTAAATAGAATTCTACATCAATTTAGTCCCAACAGAACTATCACAATAGAGTTTTGATAACCATATGCAAAGTTCTTCAGCCGTTGTTTGAATTCCATATAATCATTTTCAACCACCAAAAAAAAAAATGTTAATGTTTGAGATTCATAATTAAGTTGGTGATTTGATAGTTTGAAATTTGATATCTTTGCTTATAACACAATTTGAAGTGTAGGAGTCAAATATAGAAGTAGAAGCCCAGAATGGAAAAAATGCTGATCTGGTGAACTCTGTCAGCCTATATTCTCTTATTAAAGGGATGTTAAGATTTTCTCCATAGACTCGTTGATATATTGCGTACTAGTAACCTTTTAAGTTTTCATAGGCAGCAAGATATGAGTTTGATGTCTAATTAACTTCTGTAAGAATGGAACTATTCCTTGATTGGTTATGTTACATTTACATAATGGCTTACATACACATGATGTGGTCAAATATATCAAAAAAAAAATTTTAAAACCAAAAAAAAAAAAAAAAAAAAAAGTCAATTTTCGAAAAATCACTTATCGTAAAATCAATTTCACAGAAGGGCTTAATGACGCCACAATTTACCAAATAAGTATCATTGGTTCAATATTCTCATTAAAAATTCCATAAGCAGACTTGAGTATACGAAAGTTCAAAGAAGAAGTTTTCCGCCTCATTCTTCGAGAACTTCAACATTATCAGTCGATGATTAGCAAATTTCGACAGCGACACTGTGTGCACTTGTATTATTGTGTGCGAATTTATTCTCTAGAACGTAGCAATGGTAATGTGCTCATTTTAAAAAGAAAGTGACCTCTCAAGTTAAACCAATGCCAGTTCTCCTCTCTAATAGCACAAAGAAACAAACTTTGGAATATCCACTCTTTACTGTACTGGTGTGATAAGACAAATACTGAGAGAAATTGGTAGGATATATTTGCAGTCCCACCACCCACCAAATTAGCAAGAGAGATAAGCCAGTCTCCAATGCTGAGAAAGTTAAGTGCAAATAACATGCAAATTACCATATTGGACCTTACTTTTATTTGTTTATACAGAAAAATCATTATGAATCTCATCAAAAATATATGTGACTGAAAAGATCCTATTTGATAAAAAGTTTCATAAGAATTTTTTTCTTGTATTGCTTTTAAATTTCAATCGAATTAATTCTATATTTTTCTACGACTTTTCAAATTTAAATACGAGTTAATAAAATTGCGAGTATTCTACGCTTTTCTTGAGTCTTTTTAACTTTCCCTTTAGAGCTGAACATGTGCCTCTATATTTTTAAATACCAATTAGTGTAGTGTTTCAATGTTTATCTTTTCTTTTGTGGGTCTAAGTAGCAACATTGTTAACTAGTGTAGTCCAACTCCATGTTAGTCTTTATTAATAAAAAATACAAAGCAAATCGTAACGTGATGTGAGATTTGTATACCTTGAAAAAGAAAATAACTTAATACATATTATTCAAAATCTCGGCGACAATATAACTATATGGGCACGTATCTTTTTGTCAAATAACATGTCTAATATATTTTTATTTTTTTTATGACGAGGGAATTCAGAGTCGCTACTTTTCAGGTGCGTATTGGATAAACCATCAGGCTAACACAATAGCCTGCAAATCACGTCAATCAAGTAAATCGCAATAGACAAACTAGGTGCAACAGACTCGATCGAAAAAGTGTTGAGAGGGGTGCCGTAGGCCAAGTTAAAGGTGATGAATAAGGCATTATGATGGATGCTCAGAGATATTAGGCGCTTGTTTAGGTACACAAGCTTTAATTTTTTAATCTTGTTTAGGTACTGAATAAAAATTGGAACCGGTAGTTGAATGCCACCCCTGCATTTTCTGGTTTAAAAAATTAACAGCTGCCTATTAGAAATTCCTTCACTCTCTTTTTTCCATTTCCCCTTTTCCTCCATGTCACCATAAACAGGAAGCTTCCTCTTCCCTTCTTAGGATCCGGGCCCACGACCGATTCTACGGATCAAGAAAGTGGGTCAGGGCCATATTTGATTACAACGCCTAGTAGAGTATCAAATATTTATCAAATTTAGAAAGTAGAAATTACATGGAACCATAATTTTCAAATTTCAATTTCAAAAATCAGATTTAAAATTTGTTTATACCAACATCAGATGATAATTCCATATTTTAATTTAATAATAATATTATAAAATTAAATTAGTGTATATACCCCATGCCTACGTCCTTCCACCCTATCAAAATTTTCGAACTTGTTTGAGCCCTATTATTTTTCATTACATTAAATTAAAGTTTTCTCTCTCCTACTTTTAACAACACATTCTTCAATAAAATAATATTATACGCAAATTCAAAACTTTTCCTAATTTTTTAACCACACATTCTCCATCATAACACTATTACAAAATGCATTTTTATGAAAAGAATGGAGCTCAAATAACTCCTAGGAGTGTTTTGTGACCAATTATTTGAAATTGTGACCATAATATAATTTATGACTAATAAAATTTTCGTTTGTAATCGATAAATAATTTGTGACCAAATTGTATAAAATTGTGATCTTAATATATTTAATTGATAAAATATAATTAATTATTTCATAATTAAAATCTAATAATATCTGATTTTTGGAATTTTAAACATTGACTCTTAGTTTTGAAATCTCTTATATAGGAAATTTTCCCATTTAGAAAACCTTAAGGCTCCAAACCTCAGAATATTCTCATGTTTTCAAGATTAGTTTGAAAATACAGTTTTTGGGTGGGTCATTCAATTTTTAATAATCCAAAAGTGGATCCACCCCCATTAATTTTTCCATCTATATATTCCCACATGCTCAACCACCTCCAAAGAAAATCCCCATCAACAAAATTCAAAACACTTCACAAAATAACAAAATGGCTGCTGCCCCTTCTATTTACTCTCATTCATCTGTCATCATTCAAGAATTCTTGAAGACTTTCCACTCAAGAAGATTATTACTCCATGCTCCTCTTTATAGTTCACCTCCACTATCAGCTGCAACAACAATTTCCCCATCCAGTACAAAACCTCAGAATAACACTTTCGACGCAAATGTTGTAATGGTCCTATCAGTCCTCTTATGTGCCTTAATTTGCTCACTTGGATTGAATTCCATCATAAGATGTGCACTAAGATGCTCGAGTTTCGTATCCTCTGATGACACCTCGTCTGTGCGCCTAGCCAATACAGGAATAAAGAAAAAGGCCCTCAAAACATTTCCCATAATAAGTTACACTAGTGATTTTAACCTTCCAGGTTTGGACACAGAGTGTGCAATTTGTCTCTCAGATTTCGCCATAGGAGAACGCGTTCGAGTCCTGCCCAAGTGTAACCACGGGTTCCATGTCCGGTGCATCGATAAGTGGCTGAATTCACACTCCTCTTGCCCTACTTGTAGGCACTGTTTAATTGAAACTTGCCAGAAAATTGTAGGATGCAACCAAGCTAGTACATCAACACCAGTGATCCCACCACCATTAGAAGTTCTTATAAGGATTGCACCTTTACAACGAGAAGGTTTGGTACAAAATCATCAAACTTAGGTATATATTTAGCTAATTCTATCAGATCATCTTGTGTTTGTTTTTTTTTTTTTTTAATAGGCAAATTAACAAGTAGGGTCAGTATAGTTATAGGTGGAAAGTGGCAGCATTTTGCACTGATTTGAGTTGGGGCAATATCAGCTTAGGCCCTTTAGAAATTAGTGCTGTAAACTGTATATATGATTTTATGTAAGATTTAATTTTCTATTTAAATGTTCACTAATTATACTATACATCAAGTTGATAAAACATGAATTATTGAGCCACAGCACCAAAGTCACATCAAACACTTCCGAGACACCTTCTATGAATCTATGTAGTCCTAAACAGAGTGCAATCAATAGAATTTTTAATTCTTCTTTATTCACAATCGGTGGAGTATTCAATATACTAATGTATCATTCACGGTTAACTTTTGGAAAATTTTGTGTGTACAAAATTTTTGATGACAAAAGAATTCCAGATACTCACATGGCCCACTTTTGGAAAATTCTGTGTGTACAAAATTTTTTATGACAGAAGAATTCCAGATGCTTAAAGAAATTTTGCATTAAATTCAAACCCTTTTTAAGAACTTAAAGAAATTTTGCTATATGTATTCTGTAAGTAATCTGCAAAAAATAACCTACCCATCACATGCTGTGTGTATTCTGTAAGTAGTTTGCAAAAAATAAGAATTCAAACCCTTTTTAAGAACTTAAAGAAATTTTGCATTAAATTTTCTTGTCGGCACCTTGAGACAAAGCACGATTACAAGGACAAAGCGTCTGAGTCGATATTCACCTGCAAAGTTTGAGATCCCATAATTAAAAGAATAAAAATATAAATGCCCATTCCATTAATTGTTTAGCCAGTGTTTTGGAGTAACTAAAGTTGTGGGTTTCTACAAACGTCAGAAGATATTTGTCTGATTTCAACATTTTTTCTTTACAATTTTATCATCTTTCAAGGAAAAGACAGCAGTCCCAGTCCTTCGATTTTCTGCGCCACTTAACTGCTACCACTATAAATATGCAAGTAGATACAACCATGGCACGAGCCTAATGTTTATGGGAAAAGCCACGAGTATAAGTGATTCTTGACAGAATTTCTATCAAAGTCGATGTAGTCGTAAATGATTGGATTATTTTTTGTTTTCTTTTTCCATCTTCCAATCAATTCATGTCATGTATTGTTGGTCAAAATTTTCTGTATTGTTTTTTATTGAATGGGTTGACTTCAAAACTTGAAAAATATATATCAATCCCCACTCCCCACCCCGCACAGAAAAAAGAAAGCAGAGAGGAGTGATAATTCAAGAAAATAGTTTAAATGCATTCACGTTAGATTCCAATTCCATTGAGAATCTTATCGTGGATAGAAAATGAAGGAGATGTTCAAATGGACCCTGTTGAATGGAAGCTGAGAGGGAGAGCACCTTTCCATTATCACTTAATCATACAAATACGAAGATATACAAACAGGGAAAGGTGGATTTTGTTTTAATAGAAACACTTATATGGAGCGCGCGCGCACATATATACACAGAAGATTTATCTTAAATTCTAAAAACCTTCAAAATATGCACATGTTTATGAAGTATTTATAATTAATTTTAATTATAAATAGATAGAAATAAGTGGTGAGCGATAGTCATAGCACTTGCGGCGGCATAAAATGTAATGCATGAATAAAACGTGACTTGATAAATTATTTATAAATTAAACCCTTGCCAAACAAGCTCAATTTATTTTCTAAAAAAAATGCTTATGTGGCAATCCAATTCATAAGAAATGGCCATGTCATATATTCCACCTGAGTAATGTTATTTAATATTACAAATGCTAAGCACCATTCTAGTTGGCATTTAAGTGTCACTAATTGATAGATCACCTTAAAAACAAATGTCATATTCAAGATGATCTATCGCTTGCAAGTTATCTAGACCGTTGATATAACATATGTGGTACTACGTAACATTATTCATTCCATCCATGTCCAAAATTGCGCAAGTTATACATCCCATATTCTCAATTGACTAGCGAACATAAAACTATACTCTTGAGCAAACTATTAATAAAAACACCTATATTGGCCCAAAAATCGTCCCAATCAGTATGCAAAAGGAAAAAAATAAACCAGGAACACAAAAAAATACCTCAATTGACCTTTCATATTACACTGGATTTAATAAAATTCAATAACAGTAAAAAGAAATACTGTGCATTCAGCTTCCATTTGGAACCTGAATTTTCAAAAGAAAATAAATGATTAGATATTTAATTATATGATACATCTTCAGATGTTTGCAGAATTACAGCAAATTTATCTTCTTGAAATGCAATCGCAAAACTGAACAACAAATGGTACAAACTGGCTTGTAAATAAAATTTGAGATCGAAAGACACTATGTTTTCCATAAATTACCAGTTCACAATGGTAATGAATGGGAAAGTGCAATACCCGTCAGAGAATCAAACTCGGCCTCCTCCAATTCTTGCTTGCTAAGAAATCTACTGGAGGGTTGGAATTCTGTACCTGAGGGATGCTTAATCGCTTTTAACTCCATTGATCTCACTACAAAATGGCTGCCAACTGCATCAATTGTCCTGTCGATAAAATATAACCTTGGTATATAATCCTTCATGCGGCATATGAATTCCAAGTGGCCCCTTGCCTAGACAAAAGGAAAAGGCAAGGTAAAAAACTTTCTAAAAAAGAAGGTGCTATACACAGATAAAATTATTTAAGCATCTATAGCAGTCAAGACTCAAGATTGCTTATGAACACAGGCCAAAACCAGTTGGGCAGCATTAAAATCTGTATCTGACATTAAATGTCCATGAGAATATATTTATTACTGTGTTATTATGAAATCAAGAATAGATTCAACCAACAAACACAGAACAATGTCCAACATAGCTGTCATGAGACGAAAAGTCCTAAAATTTGATATAGGCAGAAATTAGGGATCATCCGAAGGGCTTTCATTTTAAAGGCAATTTTTCATTCACGAGTGATACTCATCCGCAGCAGCACAAACAGAATGAACAATCAGCTTAGTAATTATCCAATATGAGATGCTATTTTATTGCTTCTAGCCAATCTAATGAACCCCTATCAGGTCAAGTGTACGTTACAGTACTCCAGCAGCATGTACATACTGCATGTAAATTTCAAGTTTAACCAGTGTAATGTAAACATAATAAGGGTTCTATCTACAGTTCAGATTCCCATTCCCTGGTTTTTGCATCGAGAAGTTAACGGTTTCTCCATAATGATACACTTGTGAAAAAACTTCTATTCCAATTTTTTCCTCACGGGGATTATAAAAATAGTGCATATGAATATAAGTAAATAAGAAGCCAAATTTCTCTGTGCGCTAAATTAAGAAGATCCCTTCCTTCATCTCTCTAAGAGTTAATAACCAAAATGGTCACTAAATTTTGTAAAAAGTTTTCATAGGGTTACTGAATTTTAAAAATCACCTAAATCATCATTGAACTTTGCAAAAGATTTCCACGGGATCACGGAACTTTAAAAATCATCTCATTCATCACTAAACTTTCTGATCCCCTGGAAAATCTTTTGCAAAGTTCAATGAACTCGTAGAAATCTTTTACAAAATTTAGTAATGAATTCAGTGATTTTTAAAATTTATTAAACACGTGTAAACCTTTTGCAAAGTTCAGTGATAATTTTGGTGATTTTTAAAGTTCAATGACCATTTGGGTTATTAACCCTCTCTCTAACAGATGTCACTTACGCATACAAGAGAAAAGCTTGTCTCTAATCTCATGACCCTGGTAGACACTGGGAGTCATTTAAATTAAATTAGAAGGAAATCAAGAGCTAATGCATCATAAAAGTCGGTTAAAAGTTTTGGTTATATATTCAAGGAAATTACAAGCACACCTGTCGATAGTCGGGAGAGCGTTTTGGAAGTTTGAGATAATCCATGTTACTGATCTCATAATCCCATAGAAAGGATGTATGGTGGACCCACCTATTTTTAATAATGGATTGAGCATTCCCACCAAACTTGTGGTTGCCAAGCACATAATCTGAAAAAGATGGTAGGAAATAAACTGTAAGCATTTAAAAAGCTATAAAATAGAATAGAGGGGAATTAATATAAAAGCAAAAAAAGATATGAGGCCATAGAGAAGCACGTTATTTGATATTAAAGATTCAGAAAATATTCTCGAAATATAAAAGGGCTAGCCGCTGACTAATAACTTATTGTATAGAAAATGAACTGTCCAATCCACTATCAGTTTAACAAATATACAGGGTAAGAAAAATCATTATCAACAGAAATTGATGAACATATATTATCAGTTAATTTGGTAGGGAGTCGGAATGGAATTTAAATATGAAAAGGCCTTTCCTCGTTTCATTCTAAGAATGATGAAGAATAATATTTGAAAAAAGGAGAAGAAGAAGGTGCCTAAATATTTGATAGATGCAATGAATACTGGATAGCAATGCTGAGAATCAAACAAAAAAAAAAGGGAAAGGAAAGAAAGAATCTAAAGAAATAACATAAACCTGCAAACATGTCGTTTGATGATAAAAAAATCAATAACAATGAAGAAGTATATTTAAAAGACAAAGGTAGAAGTTTTCATAAAAAAATGGATATGCTAATCTTGCACTAATTTCTTCATTTAATGCAGTACCCTTTTAAAGCACCATCCAAAACTAAAATAATAGAAAAACCATTAGAGGCCACATGTTGCTACACACCATTCTCGCGAAGGCTAAAATCCCCAATTCCTTGAAATACTTTTTGATACACTAGGCTGCTCCATGACATGATGGGTCGAGGATATGATTGTAAACCTGGAACTGCATCCTTATTGCATATAAATGTGACAAATATTGTCCCCTGATCAACAATAACAGTTCCTCCACCAGTAAACCTTCGGATAACCGGAATTTCATCTCGTAAAACAGAGTCAATTTCAAGAAGTTCCACAGGTTTCCTATTAAAAAACATGTAGCATGCATCAATTTCTTCCTGTTATAATACATTGATGGATCCATAACTTGTAAATGAGCAGTGTAATGATGGTATAATTATAACATTTGGCCGAACCAGATCCCCTGGGCTCTGGTAACTCCAAAGGCTGAATTGATTATCTTAGAAACAAGAGATTTAAGTACACAATCAAATTGATAAAACATCAAACAAGTAACAATATACTAGTAAGTCATAAAGATATATCAAACTCAATAATGATAACCCTTATCAGTGTCAATAAACAGCTCAAACAACATCATGCTGATATTATAGCATGAACCAATACTGACAGAAGAGTACATGGACTGTATAACAAAATCCAAATTCAGCAGACCATGTCTCAGCTACTGAAGGCTGAGCTTGGTTCTGTCAGGAAGCAAAGGACACGAAGGAGTACAATGAATAAATCAACTCCTAACATTATGTAAATAGCCAATATTGGAACACAATGCATTTGACACATTATTTAGTTAATTATACAAGTGGTTTATACCTTTCAGATATTTATTCCGATTCATAGGATGAAATTCTTAGTAATAGCATTCATAAATTAAGTAATCTTGAACCATTATAACATTTCTATTAACCACCAGATAATAGAATTTTCTATCTCGATTTTTGCGAGTTTTCTATCTTCAAGCAACAATTGGATTAAGTACTATTGCACCCAAAAAATAAATAAATAAATAAATAAATAAATAATAATAATAATAATAATAATAATAATAATAATAATAATAATAATAATAAAAATAAATTATAGCAACAAAAAAGGAATTTCAATTTCAAACATAACTTACGCACCCTGATATACCCATGACAATATTTGGGTCATCTGTTCCATCATTGATGATGCACCAGTTATCTGATGAGGTTCGAAGCAGCCTCTCCTCAAGATGTAATTGCTGTAAAATGGGTACTCCTTTTAGTCTTACAAGATTCATCAGTGGTAGCCCTATGTTTCTAGGTGCAATCATTGGAAGAAACTGACCAGATTCTTCTACTTCCTGAGCCGAACACACGCAAAAATGCATCAAACATCATCAACTTTAATAGTTCTTCCATTAACTGAAATTTCAACACAACTGCTAAATGCCACTTCCATATAATAATAAGTGACTTGCCTTCGTCTAAGTTTAGAAATCAGGTTGTAAAGAAACTAATCCAATTAAAATAATCAAATTACAAGTTACCCCTGTTAGATATAAAACTAATCACCTAAAAATAATAATTCAATTACAGTAATCAAATTACAAGTTACCCCTATTAGATACAAAACTAATCAAATGGGAATTTATTTGTAATTCTATACGCCTCTCCATCCTTAATATCTGAAAAGTCAGAATCTTGGATTTGGTGTAGACATCTCTTATTCCATAATCCCATTAACTCCATAAAACAAAGTAGAGAATTCTGAAGCCAAAAATGCTGCCAAACTGGGAATATTGCAGACTGAGTAACCATAATTTTAACTTGTAAATCATAAGAAGCGTTTATTTTTTAGCACAAAGAGGGAGAATTATTTTGGTGCTACCTAAACGCAATACTCATACTACACACTACATTTTAAATTATTACCTATATTCAATGGGCATCCCAAAATTAGCTCAAACTAATCACACCAGATTCCCCATCCCCAAATAGCCAAAAAAATAATTTGAGAAATATAGAAATGCGTTAAAAAGAAAATCAGCAAAAGTGAGAAAAGAGACTAACTGAATGTGTGTGAACAACGATGGACATATCCAATCCACAGAAAGTTTCCGGCGGTGAATGGTCCAATTACCGTCCAGTAATGAGGTTGAGGCGTTTCAATTCAACAATTTAGAGAGAGAATGATTGAGATTTGGGTTGGATTATAATTTAAAAATCTTTTATTAATTGGGCTTCTGAATTTTGGCCCCCTTTTATTAGTTTCTTCATGCTCTTCAAATTATGGTACATTTTTATCATATTTGGACAAAACTTATTAGTCATTTACCAAGCATCAATAAGTTACAAATAATTCAATGATGCTATAGGTACATAAAATTTTAATACAAAATTTTGACTGACTTTACATGACGTGAAATCATTAGAAGACAAAAAAAATACAAAAAAAAAAGGTGAATTAAGTTTCGCCACGTCTGCATTTGTATGAATTCGATAAGAAATTTCCAGTACTTCAGGCTTTTTCCCAAATAATTGGCTACTTTGATAACTACTAGGGCGTTTAAAAATTCAAGAGTAAAATGACATCGATCAAACTAGATAACGTCATGTGTTTTCAAAATGAATATGTTTTGATTAACTCAAAAAGTCTAATACGAGTTCATTTAATTGGGACATTACAAAGTTAAACTTTTCAGATAGGTTATCTTAATCAAACTCCATATTGCAAAGTTTCAATTAGCATATTACATAGCAAGATTTGAATTAATTAAATTGTTGGTTTTAATTCCTAAATAATATTTCTTTCATTAGTAAGACTAATTAAGTGTTGTTGGAGTACATTCACGGGATGTCTTCAATTAAGATTTTGATGGACTTAAAGATTATAAATTCTAATGAATTTCGTGGATTTGAATATATTTTCACAAATTCTATAAGTATCTCATCAAATATTATGGAAAATTAAAAGATTTGATTTATGTATTTTTAAACTTGAAATTCATTCATTGCTTTTTAAATTCCTCTATTAATGATATCTTTATAAATTCACTAGTTATTGAAGATGTCTAAATTTTAAGGAATTTTAACGAATTTCATTAAAATATTAATTAGAGACACCTAAATTTTAATGGATTTCATTAAAATCTCAAATAAGGACACCTAAATTTAAGATAATTTTTACCCTTTTATTGAAGAAATTAAATTTCATTGGGAACAAATAGTAATAATCATAAAAACATCAACCAACCGAAAAAAATGTAAAAATGGATAAAAGTAAAATTAAAATGTCAACAGCTATATATGCCAAGTGAATTATCATACAAACAACTAAAATGAATACATATAATTCATTATTAACAATATCTAGATAAAAGTATGGTTCCCTAGACAATTAAAAAAAAAAACTATTAATTTCTCTATTATCCATTATTAAAATTTAATTGCTTACTTGACACGAGATAGAAAGACAGAGATTAGAGAGGGACAGGGTCGCAAATCCAATTGGTGTGACAAAAACATTGGAATTTTATTGTTGCGCCCGTCGAATGTGCTATTACATACTAATGGTGCATATTTATTGAAATCGCTGCTCAAGTGTAAACACATATGTTACTTATACGGTTCTTGTTAATTTGATAATGCATTAGCTCTGATATTACGCATGCTTGATTTTGTTTTTCCAGGTTTCCATGTAATGACAAAAGATTTTTTGCTTCGCGATTGATCCTCTCTATCAGTGTTGGCGTCATTGTTTATTGTCAATGAGTAAATATTGTGCTGTCTGAAAGTTAAAAGTATTCTTCTAGCCTTTTGTCTGTGTTGCATATTCCAGTTATTGCTGGTCAATTTATTATTTCAATTACCCAACAATCTCCTCAATGATACTTTCGTCGAGTTTCCCAAATTTTATTTCTATTTTTTATTTTTTGATGTTTGTGCGTGCTAGCATGTTGATAGAAATGAATTTCGTCTTCAGACGGCTGGTGCGTCACACGGCATATATCTCTTGTGTACAAATTGTTTTGTTACGCAGGATATAATCACATCCTATATATCACACATAGTTGCAGTTTTTTCCTTGTCCAATGTGTGATTTTTGTGTCAACCATTTTTTTACACGGCTCAATGCTCCATTTCTATTGCATAATAAAATATCGCATAATGTTGCTTTGGGGGTCCTTTAGAAATGTTTACATACCACTCTTTAACTTTTCTAGCATTTGCTATGTACATTTCAGGGAATCTCAGATAGTGAGACAAACAATGTTTACATACTACTCTTTAACTTTTCTAGCATTTGCTATGTACATTTCAGGGAATCCAAGACTGTGAGATAAGCAATGTTTACATACCACTCTTTAAGACATCTCAGCATATTCAAAAAAACATATGCAATTCACAAAATAATAATAAGATTGTCGCTCATTAGTTTCTTATATATTCAGAAAGTTGAATTGAACATTATTACATAGTAGTATTATGCTGAAAAGGCAAGTAAATTTTAGTAGTTAAATCGTGTTCAATACTATGTATCTAGAATGTCCTTAAGAGGACGTCTTAAATACTTTGCGGAATGATTATTATGTTGGAATAATTAATAATTCCATATGTGGATTTCACATTTGATTGCAAAATTTTACGGGTTAGATAAATGGCTCATAATGATATTTGTGTTAGTGCCAAATTTATTAAGTGATCAATTGGGCCTTTTACACCTTACGGGTTGTAATTAATTCAATGTGGTAATTTAAAATATGTGGGCCGAAAATAAACCCTAATTAGAATTCTAGTCGTAATGGGACGGCTCAAATTATTTTCTATATATAAAGGTTAGGTCCCCTCTCCTCTCCATATGTTTTAGCTTGCTCCATTGATAGCTAATACTTTTGTGAGGAGTAAGGAGGGAAATATCTTGGCTACTATTACAACTATAATTTATATCAACAATGGCTTCCGCCAGTATGAATTCGTTTCTATTAACTTATTGGATCATGATTATCGATTCTTAACATGATTAAAATTAAAAATTAACAATTGGTATCAGAGCCTACATGTTAAGATTGAAATCCTTAATGAAATTCCTTTTCCTATATCTGTGATCTGTGCATATATTTATAATATAAATTATTATTAACATGGCCCAACACCGAATCCCAAAAATCAGAATCTGTAAAATTTGTGCATATATTTAAAATACGAAATAACGAGATTGAGTCAAAGGCAAGGTTTATGTGGCACACTCATTATTATTTATTCGATTTTCTCTACAATAAAAATATAAGTATTTGCGCAACAATCTTGATTTATTACATATAACATCTTGCTCAAAGGTGTTGTTATATGTGATATTTTTGAAAAATGGCATAAGGCAGTTAACGAGTTTACCTTGGTCTAGAAATTTCCTTCTGCCCAAAGGTGTTGATTATTTCGAAAACCAATGTAATTTTGTTAACTAACTACGTGATGTATTTTAAGAGTACCTTATAGCATGTTGTATTGTCGACCCAAAGGTGACTTTATGATGATGCACCTAGACTCTTACCGTAATAAAATTCATATGTTTCGATTTAAATTACGGATTATCTAATTAATAGCCCATATTAATTAGTTGGATATTTCATCATCCATTTGATTACATGCATTAAGTTTGGATGATATTAAGAGTGATATTTTATGTTTTCACAGTTTATAATGCCTCATCTCTTTCGAATCAATTGTCTGCTATTGAAATTTTGACTGAGAATAACTATGTGAGATGGAAACGAGACGTAGAAATAGTACTTGGTCTTTTAGGCTTGGATTTTGCAATGGAGAAAAAGCTTTGAATAACCCACAGATAAGAGTACCGTTGAATATGTAGCCGAGCATGAAAAGTGGGAAAGGGCTAACAAACTCTGTTTGAAAATCATTAAGCGATCGATATCTGATTCCATTCTAGGTGCCATCCCTGATAATGAAAATGCCAAAAGTTTTATGGATGCCATAGGAGAAAAATTTATTGAGTCTGATAAAGCCGAAACTGGGGATCTGATGGATAAATTTATGAGCATGAAATATGATGGTACAAGTGGTGTTAGGGAGTATGTCATGAAAATGATAAATATATCATATAAGCTAAAGGCTCTTGACATTCCCATTGAAGAGCCTTTCCTAGTCTATCATGTTTTGAATAGCCTTCCTAGCAAGTTTAATCAGCTTAAGGTTGCTTACAATGCTCAGTGGGATAAATAGAATTTGAATGACCTCATAGTAGTGTGTGCCCAAGAAGAATATAGGATGCACCGTGAAACTGTTGAAACTATACAATTAGCTTTTCAGCCATCACAGAATAAAGGGTCTTCTCATAATCATAAACCTAAATTTCGTAAGGGAATAAGTCCCATCGAAGTCAGCAGAATAAAAATTTTAGTGGTCCCAAAGCAATTATAAAGAAAAATGATCAATGCAAGTTCTATAAAAAGAATGGTCACTGGCAGAAAGACTGTTTTAAGTTCAAGACTTGGTTGGAAAAGAAGAAGAGTTCTTTAGGTATTCCCTTGGCCTTAGTTTGTTTTGAGTCTTCTTTAGTAGATGTACCTTTGAATTCTTAGTGGTTAGACTCGGGAGCTAGTATTCATATTGCGAATTCCTTGCAGGGGTTCATAAGCAAACAGAGGCCAAGTGAAAATGAAATAAGCTTGAGCGTTGCAAATGGATTCCAAGTAAAGGTTGAATTCATAGGAGTAGTGAAGTTAACTTTAGAGTCTGGTTTTTATCTTGTTTTGGAAAATACAGTTTATGTACCGCAGATGAGACGGAATTTAATTTCTATACCAAAACTTGATACTTGTAGTTTTATATTTAATTTTGGTAATGGAATGGTTAAGTTATTTAATGATTATCGTTTGATTGGAAATGGCATTTTATGTGATTGTTTATATAAATTATCTTTGACTTCTTTTGGTGATGTCTCGTGTGTTACAAATGTATCAAAGAAAAAGGCTTTAATTCGTGAATCATCCTTTATTTTGTGGCATAAGCGATTGGGTCATATTTCTAAGGATAGAATGGAAAGATTAGTAAAAGATGAGATACTTCCTTCCTTAAACTTCTTCGATTTTGACACTTGTATAGATTGTATAAGAGGAAAGTTAACTAAGTCTACGAGGAAGGGTTCGACTAGGAGTAATAGAATTTTAGACTTAATTCACACTGATATCAGTGGACCTTT